GCTTGTCGTTCTCGTCGATGTAAACGAGTTGCGTCTCCGTCGTGCCCGTCATGAAGTGGGCCTCGAGAAAGCTGTCGTCTGTGGATTACGGAACGTAAGTCAGAACCAAGTTGGATGTCTATGCATACGGCAAGAGGAACACTAACCGTTGGGAGAGATGGGTATCCACTGTTTCACGAGGATATCTTGTAAGGATACGTGGAAACTTATCTCATCCCCATCGGCTTTTCTTGCGAGTGCACTTTCATACATCAGAACCTGTAATACGGAGGTTCAATTGCATATTACCCAACTTGAAATAAAGTAACTGTTACTAAATAGCCAATAAGTAACTACTCACTCACCAGCTCTTCCGATAGCGGGTAAATACGTGATCCGCTGACTTTCACATGATACCTGACGTTCAAACTTGCACCCGCCTCGCGCTGATTCGCCGAAACACAAAATAAATCGAAATTGTTGTAGAAAACGTGAAGATAATTACCAAACCTCCATTATAACGGGCTTAACTTACCCAGTAATCCTTTAGGTGCATCATATCACTGTTTGTGGATTCATCTGTGTCATAGAGCACAAGAGGCGCCACTGATGGAGTCCCCCGAGGTACAGGGAAGTCCACATCAGGATACAGGGCAGACACTTTGGGGGAAACGGATGCGAAGGACATCCTGTGTTCGACAAGTAAGGCAAGATGTTTCATCCGAGCGCTTTCCGACATCTCAAAGAACAAAAATACCGGAAGTTGGTCAGTTTACTAAACGTTCTTGTCCACTGAACAAGTTCGATTAAAGTTGGTTTGTGCCGTAAGAATCGAGCGTAAGAATACATTTTTTGGGGGGCTAAATTTAGGTCGGAGAGGAGTAAATTGTGAATGACATTATTGACCTTTGTTAGGTGCGCTTGTATGGGAACAATTGAACATCACCCACTCTCGCTTCAGAATAATTCGATGAAAGCTTTGTAAATAAATTTTAACTAACCTGCCGATAGCGGCGAGCAGGAGTCGCAGGGGATCAGGATGGGAGCGCTGCGTGAGAGGGATGTGGTAGTTGTCAGGCAGCGCGCGCTTCAGGATGGCCTGCAGCAGGCCGTGAGGGGCCACCTCGATCAGGACGGCCCTCTCGGGGATGAGCTGTAGTGCCTCTTCGAACAGCACGGGGCTCAGCAGGTTGTTGGTCTGGTACTCGGCCGAGCAGAACTTAGCCAGCTCGCTATCCTGGAATGAGGCAAAGATGGCTCTTTATGCTTCTGTTGGTCTTGAAGGGCTAGGAGAGGGGTCGAAGTCTTACCCGCTCGTCGACGGGCACCGACGTCGTGATCCACCTGGAGGAACGGGGCTTGGGCTGCGGGATAACCTCTTTGAGGTGCTGCAGCAGGTGCGGTGCGGCATGCTGGATGTACCGCGAATGGTACGCGATGTCGGACACATTGACAGCCCGGGCGAACACGCCCTCGTCGCTGAGCTTCCTGACGAATGATTCCACGTCCTGCGCGGGGCCGGAGAGCGTGCAGCTGGTGGACGAGTTGTGGCAGGCCACGTCGATGGTGGGGGGCAGGCGGGGGAGCACATCCTGGTAGCCGAGTCCTTGGGGCAAGAATCACGAAGTTAATGCGAATGGGGGAAGAAAGAGTTGGGGAGAGTCCAGGAGAAGGTCCTACCGATCGCGGCCATCTTGCCCTTGATGAGCGGGACCGCGTTGGAGGCCTTGCCACGTGCAAACGCGGCCAGGATCGCCTGCTCCTCCGTGAAGCAGCCGTCGGCGTAGGCGCAGCCCAGCTCGCCTGCGGAGTGGCCCACCATGCCTTCCGGGACGACACCCACGGCCGTGAGCACGTTGGTGAGCGCGACCTGGCAGGCGGTGATGCCCACGAATGACTTGAGGATGTTGTCGAACGCTGTCGGCCCCGTTTCAGTCAGGATGGCCTTCAGGTCCATCCCGCGTGGCTCCAGCACGGCGTGGAGGCGGTCGATGGTCTCGGCGAACACGGGGATCTTCATGAGCGCCGTTCCCATGCCCGCCCACTGACTGCCCATGCCCGAATACACGAACCAAACTGGCCTCTTCTCGAGCGGCTGGCGATGGTAATATCATAAGTGTTATGGTTCCTCAAAACACTGGCCAGGCCACCCACCGCACACAACTTACCGCGACAAGGGTGTCATTCCCGACGGAGGGGCAGATGACGTAGCCCCGGTAGGTGTACCCTCTGATGTCGTCGCTGAACACGTCTTGCAGCAAGCGGTAGTAGTTTGTGTGAAATGGAGCGGATTGTATCTGCGTTTTACGAACAAAACTACTAAATGTACACGGGAGAAAAAAAAATCAGGCAAATTTGGCACCCCACCCGTGCCAAAAAAATAGCTATAGGATAAAATATTTAGCTGTACTGCTAAGTAGTATTGGCGATACAGCTAGTTCATTGCTTCAGTTTGGTGTACTACTAAAAGGTTAGCAAGGAAGCTAAAACAAATAGCTGGGCCAATGCTGACGAATTTTTTGCACTAGTGCTAAAAAAATTAGCTAGGGTGCTATTTTTGTTTTTGCGTGTTGGCCTCATTTTGTTCTGGATGTGCGCCACGGACTTACCTTGTTGACGACTCTTGCGGCTGCCTCCTCGTTTCTGGCCGAGAAGGTGATGAGGCGCGGCAGGTGGTCGGCGGGGTCCTGGACGCGGCCGGGGCCGCGGGGGTTGCCCCCTAGCACAGCGTGGCCCACCATGGAGGAGAGTGCCATGGTGTGGACGGCCAGGACGCTGTCCTCGGACAGGTGCAACGGTGTGTTCTTTTCAACGACCTGCAGCAGTACGAAGAGGTCATGATCCTGTTAAGGTAGAAAGTATCTCCTCGCCCCAGTCGACGCACCTGGAGCCTGCCCGCTACCAAACCCGTGGCCTCGCTGTTGGGCTCCTGGAAGTTGATTGTGGCCGGGATGACGCCCGTCTCCATGGCGACCACCATCTTGCAGATCGCAGCCAGGCCGTTGACGCAGTCGACGTGGCCGATGTTGCTCTTGACGGAGCCTATCTGCAGGGGGCTTTCTCGCCCCGCCTCCTGGACCAGCGCCTGGTCGATGGCGTTGAGCTCGCACGCGTCCCGGATGCGGTTGCCGTTGCCGTCGGCTTCCAGGTAGGCGATCGTCTTGGGGTCGATGGCGTGCTTCTCGTAAATCCGCCGTAGGAAATCTCGGGTGCCCTTTGGGCTGGGCAGTGTGAGGTTCAGGTCGCATCGCGGCACTATGAACTCGACCTCGGTGGCCAGCACCCTGGCGTAGCATCGCTTGGCCTGGTCGGCGCGCTGCAGGAACAAGGCGACGGCCCCGTCACTGCGCACCGCCCCGGTTCCTGCAACAGGAGCAAAACGCCAATGTCGTTCTGGGAAAAGCAATACATGCTTTTATTGACGCAACCTACTGTACCCACCGTTTGCATCGAAGCTCCTGGTGACCCCCTCGTCGGTCACGAGCCCCAGCTGGTTGAGCAGCACCGAGGTCGCGGCGTAGCGGCTGATGCTCCCGCCCACGACGAGCGCGGCGTCGCACTGCCCATCCCGGATGGCGTCGGCGGCGTGCTTCAGCCCCAGGAGTCCGCCTACCCAGGAGCCGTCGACGGTGCAGCTGGGCCCTGGTGGATGCGGTATTGTAAAGACATGACGGGACTGGTGGTTTTTTACCTTTTTTCTGTGGGCGCTTACCGTTGAAGTTGAAGAAGTTCGAGATGCGATTGGGTTGCATGGACCGTGACATGCCCATGATGATGTAGCCGTCTTTAATCTTCTCCATATCACCGGTGTGGAGAAGAGTCTGTTCGAACTCATTGATGCCGGAGCACGCGAATACCCCTGTGTTCGAGCCGCTCAGGGCCGTCGGATGGAGACCTGCGAAAGTTAGTGGATGCATGTCCCCGTGTCCCCGTCAACATCAGCTTGCCGTCATCTCCACCGACCGGCTGCCCGGCCGCCTGCCGTCACCTCTTCTTACCAGCGTCTAGGATGGCCTCGAAGCTGCGCATGTAGCCGATCTTTGACGATGGGTCCGTCACCTTAGCCAGCCTGCGGCTGATCCCGAAGAAGAGCTCGTCGAAGTACTCGTAAGGGGTTTGGCCGCATACAGGCGTGAAGACGTCTGCGTTGAAATAAACGTAGAGTGACGTCGGATTGTACCCGGAGGTCTCCCGCATAGTTACATACCACGCCACGAATCCGTACGGCCAAGGCTCGAACTTTCGAGGGGACCGACTGACTAAATGCGACTGATCCAGCAGTCGGTGCTGCGACTGCAGGGCTCCTAAGCGGTCCAGTCGGGAGCGACTGCTCTTCAGTCGGAGCGACTGCCGTTCAGTCGCCTGCTACTGCCGCCTAAGGGCGTGGCATAGAGTAGCGCAGTGCCACTTCGGCCTCTAAAGTAGGCAAAACGTTCCCCCACCATGTTAACCCGCTCGCTCTCCGGCCAGTCGGTCTCCGACTGACGGCAGTCGCTGTCAGTCAGTCGGAACCCCCGAAAGTTCGAGCCTTGCGTACGGCCCCAGGAAGTAGGCAACTTGCACCCCGACGTTAAAGCGGTGCAGTGTGAGGGTGTGTGTAGGGGTCTTCTTTCAAATACCACGCGCGCTTTCAGGGGTGTGTGCACAGTCCCAAATGGATCTGAACCATCATTGATGCCCGTAGGACCCCCATAATATTTGTAGGTCAGGGTACATGATCATTTTGGGACCCCATAACATTTGTAACCCCCCCCC